TTCTTGTGTTTTCGCTAATGTAATCAATAATCCTAGCAATGACGCGTCACGACTAAATAAATAATCTTTTCCTTATTAAGCATATTCAAATGTAATTTGTTTTTTTTAAATTTTTTGTTTATTTCAAACTGGCATTTTTGCTCATTTTCTTTTTTAACCATAGCATCTCTTTTCCCTAGGGGCATTCGACAAAATAACATAGTTCTCACCAATATATTTAACGGTATTTCTAAGTTAAACATCGAAAACAGTTTGAAATAATTTCCGAAATCATTACCCACGTGTGTGGTTAGAGCTATTGACAAACCCACGGTTATTCAAAATCATCAATATATTTGAATCAAATGTTTATAGAAGACCCTCTATGAGTAATCTTTCAATTGTTTGGATAAAAATGGATTTCTTCAGTGCTTTCCCTCCGAGTTTACTCAATTCACTTATTAACATGAGTTAGCAGAATAGAATACTTCAAATTTTGACATCACCATCAGTCATTGGGCAACGTCATACATTTTTTGGGCTTTCATCCTTTTTACTTTCTTAACTTCAATAATAAAGGAACCAAAGGCTTCATTTTTGATGGAAGACTGTGTGCAAAATGTACATAAACTTCAAAAAAACTTGAGAAAAATAAAAACAAAATAAGTCTTCAAATGATCGCTTTGGATGAAATAAATTGTTTTTATTCACCCTTGTTAGGAAAAATATTGCAATTATTAATTGGCTAGCTTCAATTCCAACCTGACTTAATGCCATTTGAAATTATGTGTATATTGCCAGATATTGGTGAATAATTTGCGTCTTAATTTACGTTTATCGAAAATCCTTCTAAAACTTGTTCGTTGCTGGTGGATTTGCTGAATGTGGTATTTATTTTTGAGAAAAGGGTTAGGGAACCTAGATCTATTGTAAGCTAAGGAGATAAAAAAAATTGACAGCAAGAAGAGGCGGATCATTGCTCCTTTTGTCAACCCGGCAAAGCGGATATCAAATGTGTTTGAAATAAATTTAGGTAAAGCGATCGGAAAAAAATGATTCCTCGTCTAATTCCCTGAAAAGTTGACTTCGAAGAAAGATATCTAATAAATATCATTATTAAAAACAAATAGCATAGAAAATTCTTAGTTTTACATTTCAAACCCGTAAAAATTCGAACCCAAACATTTTAACGAAGCATTATCGATCGACCTATTTTAACCAAAGCAGAAGTTTTGTATTCCATTGAATATTAAAAGGACTACACAAAAAATTCTTGCCTTATATCAGCGAAATCAATTGAATGACACAAGTTCGTTAAATTTTAGTCAAGTTAAATATTAACTTTTGTTTAGTTGAAATTTTCCCACCAAAGTGGAGGATTCCTCGTCTCCCTCTTCACCATCATCCGACATAAATCATCTCTATTTTGCTTCAGCTTGAATCTGACAGCCCAACGTCGCACATCTAGACTGGCTCAATTCAAGTTAACTTTAAAAAAATAATGAAAGCTTTTTTTTCTCCCTTTAATTAAATGGTAAATGGTTTTATTAGCTATAAATATTTAATTATACTAATATATTAAGTGGTGGAAACAAGGATAAGTCGAAAACAATTGAATGACAGAAAGGTTTCCGCAGTGATAGCGTTCAGATCTTTAATAACAAGCTTATGAACGCATTATGAAACTAAGCAAGTATTCACCTATTTTCACTATTAGTTACGTATTTGCAATTTAGTGCCTTTTTTGTTTTCAAAGATGATCAATCCAAATTCTTGAAAATAATAAATGAAGTGCTCATGGTTTCCAAATTACTGATGTAGACTGAGAACTGAATAAAGCATTTGTAATTTAATTGTATACAAATGGTTCTTCTTGATTGCGCCAAATGCAATATGATCGTTACTATTATTCGCCAATACGATTGAAAAGTACAGTTCTTGAATTATAATTATACTCTTGCTTGGATTGCATCACATTTTTTCAAACAATTTTCTCATCTACTAAGCAAATACAGCGATTACAAATAATTACCAATTGACAATGCTAATCAATGTACATATACCAGAGCGTTGAAATTTACACAGTGAAACTTGATGCAACGGTTTATTACATGTTTTAATGAGTGTAATTTTCTACGCAAATACTCATAACTGTTTTTAATCATTCGTACCTCAAGAATATATTCTTTTGACTGCATTCATGCAGTTCACCTGAACACTCCATTCCCACTTTCTAAACTACCAATGTCCTCCTTTCAACCCGCCCTCTTACTTTATCCAAATTTTAGTACAATTTGCAACCTCCCCTCATCGTCTTCGTATGTGATCCACAAAGCGATGAACTAGAGAGAGACTCACAAGCTCGCTCTGTTTCTCTATCTCGATACTTACTTCACGTGGTGCACCCTGGACAACGTATATTCATACGGTAAAAATGTCAATAAACCGGCAGTTGACTTCTGATTTCAAATTACCATCATCCCACCGTTTGCCATATTCGACCCCTTTCACAGCACTCATCTTACCTTTTCTCTGCCTTTGTGTCTGTCTCTTTTGTATCTGTGAATCACTCTTCTGTTCATCCTCTCAACATTTTGGGGCTTTGAAGTTCCTCACTTCTGTGAAGCCCGAAGTCAGCTAAAGGGCTAATGGTAACTATCATAAAGCCTGACCTTTGATATTAATTAATTAATACTTAATTATATTACTTCCTCTAAAATACATATTATTTCAATTATGGTTGTCTTTTATAACTTATCATCTGCCTTTAGTTTATTAGTCAAAAGGCAACTTAAACTTTCGAATTTGCTTAAATCTTATTAGACAAATAAGAGCAAAACCTCTGCTAGCAATTTTGATTCATCATCCATTTTATAATTCATCATCACCTAAGTGCTAGAAAGCTTATGGTAATGTTTAGGCATTGTGAATAAGTTAAATAATCACGTCAACAGGGCCCGAATGAAGAGCATTGCGCAGAAACTGATTTTTTGGCATTTGCCTTTTGGTAAAGATATTCCTTCGTACTATCAATTATAGAAAAGCGCATACAATTAAATCAAAGTCGACAACAAAAAATGTATTCATTTTCATTTCATGTACCTCGTTCTTTTGCGTGTTAAAAATCTTTTCCTAGCTGAATCATTCATTCCCCTATAAGCGTGAATACAATTCAACTTTGAACCTCAAAGCATTTAATTTCGTTAGGCTCGTAGATGAGTAATAGTCATCGCTAAGAACACATGCCAGATACTCCAATTTTCTGATTGTTTAATCAACTGCCAAACTCCTGTTTCTAAATGCAGCCAAGCGAAAACGACGTTATTTCCTGTCCATATAGTTGGTCATTAAAAAAGCACTTCATTGTTTAATATTCTTAATCACTCTAAGTTAATGACAATTTGCAGTTCATTTTACGAAAATGGCTACTGATGGTACTTACAATGTCTTTAGACCAGGATTAACTGGGTGGCATTTTAAAGTATATGGACCAGAACTCCACATTCAATGATGAAAGGTACTGACCCAAGTTTACATTCGACAATAAGGAATAAGCACATTTATTAATGACTTAAAGTTAAATCTCATTGTACTGAAACATCAAGGTTGCACCATTTGCCTAACGAAGCATTAATGCGAGGTCAAGTTTACTGGGATAAAGTAAACAAATAAGTGGTGAGATGCCAGTAACATCAACTAAATACATCTACTCAATCAAAAATAGAACCGCGGCCTAATGTCACTGATGGCAGACGCATTGTTAAAGTCATGAGATTTGTCAAATACATAAAAGAAATGAAGAGAGGATTAGCAAATATGTGGATTGAGGTTAAGAAAGAAATGAGAGTCTGGTCATTTCCGAAATATGTACACAGAGAAATTAAGTCATTGAGTTGGTAGAAAAAGGCACTTCTTTTGTAGGTCGTGGAGATCGGAGCTAAATCTGATGGAGACCTTGGCGGTCTGTTGGGGAAGTAGAATTGGAAAGACTGAGTGGATTGTATTGTCGGCGCTCGTGAAAAGTCACCGAAACATGAGGCTGGGAAGTAATTGGCATAGTAGCACTAGAGATATACAAAGACTCCAGTTGATCAGTAAAGCGTTAGATGCATCACTGTCAGTCGGCTTTCGAATGCCTAAAATGGCCAGAAAAATGAGTAAATGAGAATCTATCTTCTTTTTCTTCTATACCGGTGACGAAAATTAGAAATTATTCAAACATTCAGTTGACATTTCTCGGAACTGCAACAAATAAACAAAACAACAACATCCCAGAAATGATACAGAAAATGTTTCCCCATGCCATTAAAATACCCTTTAGGGTAAAGTAATTCCCTATTTTGTCGTCTGAATCTGGACAAAAGTGTGAAATTAGAGGCTTTATTATCTTACCGTAGTAAACAAAGTTGGCCTTAATATTCCACCCTCGCAAAGGTGAGTGACTACCCGTCTACCCATAACTCTCCCACCCCCAACTGCCCACCGATGTCTCTCATTAGTCATGCGGGCTTTTTTTCAAACACAAGGGAGCCACACACCCCTTGAAGGTGGAGTAAGAAGGGCGAGGCCTTACTGGTAGTCGTTTAGGCGCGCGAGTTTCGATATGGCTCTCCCCTTTTTTTCGCCTCCTTTCTACATCTAATAAAATGAGTGTCGAAAGTGCAGCGGTGATATTGATTAGGGAATTATCTGCCTGCGATATATGAATGGGCGAATTCTGATTAATCCTTCTGTTCTTACGATCGTCATGACCACGTTGTGGTAATTTGGAGTGGCAATTTCGGCTAATACCGAATTGAAACAATGTACGGCTTTATTATGAGGTAAGATTTTATTCTGAAGTTACAATTCTGAGGCCGCATTTGATAAAGCAAATTTTCAACCATAAATAATAAAGCATTTCGTGATGTCGGTTATAAGAAGCGCTTAATTTTGTTTCATATTGAAATTAATGTAACTTTAATTTCAAATAAGTAAAAGGGCATTATGACTTAATTGTACGCATAATTCGAGGTGACATTTTAATAGTTGTTGATAAAGGTCATAATAGAGTCCAGAAATAGAATGAGTAAATAAAGAGAAGCAAATTTAACGATTTCAATAGTTATTGAGAAATACTTACTTGGAGTGGTGAAGAAGACTACATTAACAGGGCTGTCGCCATGGATACCGATTGTTTGAACCTGGACTATGTACAATGTGTCCGGTTCCAGATTTCGTAAAATCACATTATGAACTTTCTAAAATACCAAGAAGAGTTCTCTTATTATTAAATTCCAACTTTTATGCATTTATTATTCTTGTACTTACAGAATCAACTACTTTGGACTCTGTTCGTTCGGGATCCAGTTGTGGAGCTATTCCGTTGCTATACATGTCTGGCTCAATAGGTTCAACCAGTCTTGGGCCCCAAATGACCCTATATCCTCGTGATTGCCGCCGTGTTTCTGGGAATGATTTATCCATGGATGGATCAGCATATTTTGTGTATCGGCCGGAATTTCCATTGCCTCTTGCATTCCCACTAGGAGAAGATATTACCATCTCGGGATGAGGTTTCCAGAAGATAATAGCATCAAATCCAAGTGGCTGACCAGAATTCAATTTAAATGAGTTTTGTACTGGGAATACTGGTTCCATTTCCGATTGTGACGATGCTGTGGATCCTCCAGATACAATCGGGTGTCGCTGATTTACTTCAGTGGGAAAAAGACGATAGCCAACATCCACAGGACGGTGTGGTATTAGAACCTCTGAAATCATAAGGGAACACATTCCAGCTGGATATCTTTTTTCTTCTCTCATTTATCGAATTTAAATTTCCTAACCTCAATAACAAAAATCCTACACACTATTTTCTCACAAGGCATACTCATCTTTTCCAGACAAATAAGTACTTTTCATATCCTTATTCCATTAAATAATTGGTTTAGGCGATATCATATCACTAAAGATACAGGCTACAATAGTTTCCCCTGGTCATTTGTTTCTCTCTCAAACTTTATTATTAATGACTTTTCGAGTGTTCACCCTGTCGATAGTATTGTTCATTAGATCCAGGACATGCACCCACGCAACTGTAGTGCATGCAAATAGCTGATAGGACAGTGTATGGCTTCGAGGGGAAAGTAAAATGGGACTGACCTGCAAAAGAGCAATTCCTTGGCCTTGGGCCAGATTTTATCACCACGTCTGTGCACGAGGGAGTACAGAAACACAAATCCATCGTTTTCTTCGAAGTCATTTGAAGCGGCTCATCCGCCAAACGGATTTGCAATTTGTAGTGACACTGGAAGCGCAAACCCTCCAGTTCCATTCCAGCTAATGCCGATATCTATAATTTAAAGTCAAACAGTGTTATACCGAGCACATACAGGATGTGATTTTAAATTAAAAAGGAAGCTTACATAGACATTTATCACAGATGGTGCATTTGAGATATCCACTTTTGAATTCTGGGTTTCGATGCAGACATGTGGGTACCAGACAAGATGGAATATTGTAGTCTCCTTGACAGATGGTCCGAAGTATTGGGTTACTGGAATAAAAAGCGAGCCTATTAAATGTCCCCATTTCTTACGGTAATCTATGAATCCATATTGCAAAAGGCTCTTTGAAAGACTTTCTATGCATTAAATAAGAGTGGAACGTAAGTCAGTGAATATACTTTAAAACTCACAAAAGTAGCGAGGGATTGTCAGTCGTGCCTTCAGAACTCCATTTTCATAAAATGTTGGTTGAATGAAATTTCGAAATTCGGGAGATTCGCCGCATCTACAGGTCCGGCCCTCTGTGTTATAGTTATAATTCACAACTAAAGTTAAACAATGATATGTTAATCACATATTGTCAATCTCATATTTTTTAAAAAATGTGTAAGTGATAGCTTACTGCCTGAGGGATACTCCTTGGAAGGAATAGGGGGAGTCTTTATAAACCGAGTTACGGGTGGACTAGACCATTCCTTTCCATCCACCACGGCGACAGCGGTCACTTGAACTTTGTATACAGTAGCCGATTCGAGATCTTGTAATGTATAGGAGAGAACCTTCTTAGGAACTTTTGCCTCAAATTCACTCAATGAGCTATCTTCCATATGTGGAGGAACGTTCTTTTTCCAACTCACCTAAATAGAAATAGCGTGATATTCAAATATATAACATTTAAATTTTAGTAATCACTGAAATGAAATAATAAAGAACTCACTCTGTAAAATTTAATAGGAACATTTCCATACGTGGGTGGTTCCCACTGGAGTTTAATCTCAACTTTATTTGAATAGACACGAGAATTACTCTCTGTGAGATTGAGAGGGGCCTCAGGAAGGGTCATGACTTTCACTGGTGGACTTGGGCGGCCGTTACCTCCAAAACCAGCTACTGATGCAGCTTTCAATCTGAATTGATACCAAGTTCCTGGACTGAGATCAGATAATACAGCTCCTACTTTTGTGGTCTAGTAATCAAAAAATGTTAATGTCAATAAAACACCCAAATGTAAAAAGAAACATATTCTGCCTGACTATTAAGCTAAAGAAGCATATAATAACTTGAGTTTTAGGGAGAGGGCGTGAATGGCTGCGAGAGTGAATGACGCTCCCTCTAAAATTCCCATAGACTTCTCTTCACCACTTCACAGAAATGGACACGCATTAGGATGGGAATGAATATACGCTGGGTGGGTGCGCACGCCTTGATTTGATTTATAGGACTATGTCACATCTTCATGAGAAGTCTTTGAGAGCGATAAAATCAGCGTGTTTACAAAGTCTTCCATTCTTCACGCTTAACAAATTTTGCAAAAAAACGAGGTTAGTGGGTATCTCATTCACTATCCATAAAATTTGTGAGGGCGCGAATCAGATGATAAGTCAAATATACAACTACTACACTAACGCAAAATGTTATGGCAGACGCCAATAGAAATTTCAGCAAAAAAATTACCCAAACAAGACTGCGCCATTCACTAAAGAGCTCGTCTTGAAGGATTTCGTCGCCGAAGTCGTCGTGATCTGTGAACAGTGACCCTCCAACTTCACGGAAAAGACGAACTTGAACTAGAAAGACGGCTGGATAGGTCCAACCTGGATTTTCGTAAGACTGGCTCGTATTATAATAATCCGGCCAGTCTAATTCCAGCTGATACACCTCTTGTTCTCCTGGTGTCAAGGCTGTCTGACGTACTGAAGGTCGATCAGGAACCGGAGGAATTTCTACAATAAGATCAAAGTGCATGCATTAATCGTTTTCATTTCCCTTCCATGGGTTTACATGCAAGGCTTTTTCGTGCTAAGCCGATGTCTTGCTTAGCAGTCCTCTATGGTACCAATTTTCATTTAAGAAAAGAAGCACTTTACCCTTGTAAAAACAGGGAATTCTTTTACTCACGCATTATTGACCATGCTTTTGAAACAAATAGTCTTCACCAACTTGCAAAGATTTGCTTAGAACACAATAAGTATTTGGCTTGATAATTTTGATTTCTACTAACCTCCATATCCGAAAGCAGTGTCATTATTGATCCGCATGCAGTGTCCTATGACAGGAGATGCTTGATAAGCGTGAGATTCTCTTCCGCGAGCCAATCGATACTGAGGAGCAGGGGGTGTAGGTGAAGAATCCACCTGACAGGCATCAAAAAGACAACACTTGGCCAATCGATTGAGACCACAATCAGCATCTGTGGTGCAGGTTTGATGAGGTGAGCAAGTGTCCGCTTCGGGCCAACTCGCTGTCAATGGACAGGAACCAACCGCCAGTCCACTAACCACCTTCTCTCGCTCCTGTCTATTTATGGCTGAGAAAGTGCAAGCTTCCCGACAGGTCTGTCTGTGTACTTCAAATGAACTGCTTGGCAGCAACTGCAGTTCGCTGTCCTGCAAAATCAAAGGGGAAAATCTATTCACATCCGAAAGATTTATCATATAATTGAATAGTTTCGTGTGGTTGTAACATATTTGAATCAGAATTTTTAGTTGACAATTTATTATAGAAGGTATGATGAATAAGTATCTTCGAAATACTCTTATGACCACAATATACCTATTATTATAGTAGTCAATATACGTTTGGGAATAATTTAATCAGCCTAAAGTTAAGCGATTAGTGTGGCTCGCTAATCATTCATCTTACAAATTAATCTAAACAACCATGAAGTCCAGATTTGTCAGGTTAACGTAAATAAATAGAATTTGTCGGTAAATGTACTATAGAGGATCGAGATTGAAATGGTTTATTTGATCTCTATAAAGTAAAAAATCATAACGCATTTTTAAACGAATTATAGTGATGCTGCAAAACTCACCTTCAATTGGTCGCAGGAAGATATACAAGTTGAGATATTTTGTCGTGGCCATCGACAAACATCCAGACACTGCAAAAGAAATGGGAGGTAATAAGCATTATGACTTGACTAGCACAAAGACAGGCTGACTGCACAGGCAGATACAAAGGGGTTGGGGGCGGGGGGGGGGGGGGGGGGGGGGGGGGGGGGGGGGAAGGAGGGTTGAATCATCTGGCCTAGGAAATGCGTGTAAGCAAACGCTGGAATCTAAATGTCTCCTACTGTGAGTGGACAGGCCTGGTTAACAACCTCTGTTGATTTAACCTCAATTCCATCTTCCAAAAGTATATATGAAATCTTCCTATTCCCACAGTTATGGCAGCGTCAATAAAAACGCTATAGAAGCCTTTATACCAGAGGTGATAACCTTCAAAGTGTTCTTAAGATTCTCAATATCTAGAAATATGTACGTTCCATTCTATTAATGCTCATCCTAAATGCATCAAAAATGGTCCATTTAGTGAGGCAACCAAATAATGGAGAGATGAAAGGAGATAGACTATCTAACAGCTGGAGAGGTCATTCCAATAGACAGATGGCTGCTTAATTAGTTTCCCTCCCAGTTTACAGTTTTAATATATTTCTAAACGAAAAGTTTGAGTAAATTGAATTGCTTATTGCTATTGCCATTAAATAGTATTCTAAAATGCAATAAAATGAAGAACTTACGAGACTGCAATTTGACCGTTTGCTCAAACAATGGGGTTCTGAAAGGTCCGGATGTTGATTGAGGAAGGTTCTTTCGGGTTCAGCCAACTGAAAGGAAAATTAAGAACAATTTTACTTCGTCCTTCCGTTACACAAAGTCAGATGTTACTATTGTGCCAGTCTAATTAATTCTGCTCAACAATACTTCAAGAAACGTGCTTGTTCATTTAGTTACTCGTAACATCGTGGACGTCTTAAAGATACATATTCAGGTTAAAATTTAATTCCTAGGAAGTGTAAATTCGGCTGTGAAGCCAAAGAGACGAGTAAAATTAGACACATTTTGTTATCAACAAAAACTGCGTTCATCTTAGTGCGAATTACATAGAATTAATGGCTCGAAAGGACTAAATTTGTTAGGCATTTAGACTAACTATTTCTTGTTCTTAGGCATGGGAGTTGATGGTTCGATTTACACCGCTTAATTACCTTTTCGACTGAATACTAAGTGCTTTGCCAACATTTGGGGAATACGATTCAATTAGGCCCAAACTTTTATGATTCAACCTCCTTTATAGCTGCATGTATAATCGGTGTTAATTTAAATTAATCTCCAAACTGCAGTAGCAGAATTACTGAATCTCGAGACAGCAAAGCACTTTCTATCGCCGGCCGAAATATATATTAAGGGAGGGTTCTGTATATATTTAACTACAGAAAGAATTAGCTCTAGATTTCACCCGCAATACCCATGCAATTCGTTTAACTTCCGTCTAAGATATAAAACATCAGTTTAAACGTTTAGAAGACGAATAAATCACTTGGTAACTTGTTGTAAAATGGCAGGTGCTATTTCGTTTCCCTTAGGGTTGATTTTGAAATCAGCTCAATAATTGAGTTATATTCAAATATGCCCAAATATTTCTTTCCCAATTCTTATAAGGAATATTAGTTAAAAGCAGGTTTAACGCATTAAAAAAATGATACCTTTGTCAAAAATACTGAAGTTAGGTTTTGAAATGATTTGAAAGTCTGGATATACTTTCTTAGACTGATTTTCTTACTTTCAATGAATGAAAGTGGCAAATAACGCCCGAATTTGGTCTGAACTGAGCAAACTAATTATTATTTCTAACAAATAACAAATTCTCCTTGTAGGTGGTCTATTCGCTTAGTGACTCCCCATTGATGCTTTTCGAAGTATTTGTCCTAGGTGGGGTGACCGCAACTGGAACAGACACATCATCAAAGTACTGGGTCGGCCTCACATACTAACGACGATTATGCGTGAAGGGATCTGCGCTCTTTGACGCTCGCTCTTGCATATTATACGTTGACATTTTACAAATTAGAATACTTCATGGGTGTCTATGATCACATTAACTTCCTCAATTAGGAAGGAAGGTCTATTTGCGCAAAACTCTGGTATTTAAACCATCATCGAACTGGGCAATGTAAAAGGTCTTCCAGATGAAATAGCTTCGAAAATTCACGTCTATTAAAATCAAGTCGGAAGATGGACACAAGAATTTGATGATAAAATATATAACTTTGTGAAATTTCCAAATTGTTGTTCTTATCATATACGTCTAATTACATTCTGATACCGGTGAAAAAATCAAATCTATGTTTCATAATGTTCAAAATGGAAGTAAATCTCCCATTTAAGCTGAAGTTAAGTAAGATATTTAAAGTTAATAACTTACTATCGGAAAATCCCACCGAAAAAATCTTTCATTATAATAAGAGAATTATTGACGAAATTGTCACAGAGATATTAGCCGAAGTAGATATCGATTATTTTATTTCATAAATCCCTCATCAATAGCCTAATGAAGTCTGATATTCAGCATGAAATCCTCTGAACGAATAAGTGAACCCATGCATATATACACAGCAGGTGGGAGGAGGGGAGGGGGGCTTCAAAAGGCATTTAGATAATAATAATTGAAGACTAACAAAGTTCATACTCGAAGTCAGAAGTCCCAGTGATAATATGGTTGACATTAACTCTCCACTAAATTGATTTGCGCAACATATTCACAAAGGTAGACAAAAACCGAACGGATATGAATTGTTTGAAATCAACAAATAAAGGAAGAATTAATGAATTCCAAAATAAACTACTTGTGTGTGAATTATATTTCCTCAATTTGAATATTCATATGATCTGAATTAACGATGTTTACTTACAAGAAAGCCAAAAATAACCAATAGGCGAAAAGTTTAAGGGAGTGCGAAAACCCCCAACTGAAGTCTAGACTCTTTCTGGAGTAAAAAAATATGATTGTAAAAACATTTTAAGTTGGGTTAAAGGTCTGAATAAAGAAAAAAATAATTCACTTCCTTGAATATTCCATTTGTTTTAAATTTAAGAAATTGTAAGTTTATAGGTCATATTAAATAAGCTTATAATAAGTTCATTTGCAAATACTTGATTTACTAGTACATGAACGGAATAAGTTACCTTCGAGCATTATTCTGACCAATCGCAAGAGCTAGATTAAAAAGACCAAATTTTTAAACATGTTCACTCATATAACCCAATATGAAGGTGAAATATTGTGTGCCATTTAATAAGACTGCTTAGAGTAAAACATATTGTCTGAAACAGGAAGCAAAAAGGGGAAGTTGGATAAACCTTATTAACTGGTAAGAAAATGTCGATGCGGAATGTCTAGTCCAAAGGTCAAGCAGTTTTTTTCTCCAGAAATCAAAATCTCCCTTTTATTTATTCCTAATTCTAATTTATCACTAACAACTAGCAAATGCTACACGAGGAAGGTCAAAGTTAGTGTTAAATATGAAGACAAAAAAGAGGAGCCACCCATGTTAGCTATTTCATCAAAACAAGCTTTTCAATTACTCAGATACGCTCCAAATTGCAGAGATACCCCAACCACAAGATGACGATTAGTATTTTCTGCGTCGCTGTGAGGTCGGCTTGATAATAGAGCGATCGTGCGGCCGCAAGTCTTTGAAATACGGCGTCAAGAGCATCAAAAAAATACATTGTACCAACCGAATTCGGTAAGTGTAGAACATGACACGTATTGCAACGTCAAAATTCCCCACGCTTGTGAAAACATAAGAGCAGCAACGTTGTGGGGTGGTGGTGGGTGGGGGATAGAGTGGAGTCTACTTGAGACGCATCAAAATCTTCACCCCCCCCCTCCCCTAAATTTCATTCACACAACAAAATGTGAATTTGAGTCGACCTAGCCGATGGTAAAAACCACAAAGTCAGCGAGGTGAACATCGGTTACAACTAAGGCCAAAAAGCGGGAGAGAGCATACACAAAGTTCTTCAGGCCGGGTCACCAAGTCTTGCATACACATAAAGACGCAACTCAATATAGCCTTCACATCATTCGATTACGTCCTTCATAATAAAGCTCAAAAGATGTATTTCTGCGCTAGTATTACAACCAACCAAATAGGCCACGAATGAGATTACTATATTACATCTAGTCATGTCAAAATTTACGTTGAAACGCTTTTGGGAGTTAAGCGACTGTTCATTAGGAGTAAGTTCATGTCCAGCTCTTCAAACAATGAATGAAGTGCTTCTGTAGCTCTGTCATCTGTGGGGTAATGGGATAAAGTAAATCAGCTGAGGAAACTTTATGCGTGATTAAAATCATATATCCCGAAATATGAACGAATCCAAAAGAACGCAATTAATCAATTGCAGTTGGCAAAATCCATAGCAGAAAATGCATTAGGAAAGGACCTACAGCATTTGTACAGAGAGGATAAATTTGACAAATAACCCCAATGTGACAGCTTCGTTACATAACATTGGAAATAAGCTTTAAAGGAACAGAAATTTCGATGACACTTTACATTTAATCTGATGTCAATGTCAGCGACATGTGCTTATACTATAAATAAACGGAGAACTTGTGAATGTAAAGGAACTTGGAATAAGACAAATGCATAGTTTGAAGCACTGAGTAAATTAGTTGCCATCTCAACGCGCCAAGTGAGTTTAAGCAACTCTTTAATGCGTTATTTTAAAAGACCTTCCAGATTACTTAATGATAACGTTAGACTATATGCGATATTGGCCCTAGTGTTAGAGCAGATGCAGACAGACTGAAAAAAGGAGTTTTCCCTTGATGGATAAGAAATATTTGGAAGTATATTCTGTTCGTATAAAACTTATCAATATTTGATCGTAGATGGGACTTACAGACATTGTGAAATTTGCAAGACACTGAGCAGCACAAATAGCCTCTCCGATCATATCTGTGATGTCCGCATATCCAGAGTTCAAAATTCCATATACTGTAATGAGAAAAATTATCGTCCCTTTGGAAGTGATCATGATCATATGAGAATACTGAAAGGTAATTGTTGATGAATGAGAAAGTAACGATTGTTGATGATTGTGACTAAATCACAAATTCAAGCTTTACTAATTCCTCGGCACGCTCCTATGCAACAGTCATTAAGTGAAAATGAATTACACCTGAAACTTAAGGAGTATGGTATTAAAATAGGCATGTTTACTACATCCTCATTCGCTATTGGTGCAGGCGGAACATCGCTCACAGTTCTTGTCCAATGGACACGCGAGCAGGCAGCCAATTAACGGTGACCTCATTACCCATTGGCCAAGAAACTTTCAATGGGTTTCACGTGTGCCAAAACACAGTGAGAAATTCGAAGTGCGTATGCGCTGTTTATGACTGTACACAGACAAATTGTTAATGGTTGGAGTGGGTCTCTCCATGAATAACAGGTATTCTTCAATCCCGAACAATTTATCCAGAGAATCTCATTAATAGGGATGTACTAAAATTTCTAATTATATCCCGATTGGTGTTTCACTTCAAGATCTCTTCCCTTAAAATTAATATTTCCTTTATCTTTTTTACATCCCATGGCAATTCAAAAAAATACCAGGTTCTATCAAAAGGTGGTATCTGAAAGCGCTAAATAGCTAGATAAATTATAAACGATTTACGTAGCAAAGGTTGAATAGGGCTCTACACAGAAATTAGAATGCAACCGGCCGAACTACTAGATTTCGTAAACGTTGAGGCGCCAACTGGCCAATAAGAGAAGAAAATCCTCCTTATAATATACAAATGCTTCAAATCTTACATCTTGTGATATGACGAGTGTTTCTGATTTTTCTCATTAAGCTAAAGTAACTTAACGACTGGTTACAACAGATCAAATAGTTTGTATTTTCCTTTAGTCACTCGGTATTAGAGACCTCAATAAAAACTTTAAGTATGGTGGAATTTTGCTCAATGGGGATGCAATTATATTGCATCAATCTCTGTACTTTATTAATTTTGGCTTGGTTCGGTTGCATGCACATTATTAAACATCGTTTTTTAAGTAAATGGATAAAATCGGGAATAAATCGTTTTGTAGAGTTCATTGGAAGCTCATTGAAAGTGTTGTGCTGCCTGTCGTCGAACGCGTGTGTGTGTGTGTGTGTGAGGTAGGTGTCGGCAATCGCCATGTGTAAGTAAGGTCTCTCCCCCCCTCCTAGTTGAGGTTAAATTTTATTGCCAACGGGGTGAATCATTTGAGGGCTCCGGTGCCTGATTCTATGATAGACTGATGGAACCAAAATTCAATGGAAATCACTTTAATAGAGCCCTCGGGTCTCAAATTTGAATGTTGCTTATGCGCCTTCATGAGGTTATTCATCAAATCGAACAAGGAAAACTATGGTGATTGAAGCAGTAAAGAGTTTTTTAGTGGATTCCAACACTCTATATCAAAACTTACCGTAAGAGAATATGGCTTTGTTTCAAAATGCCTGCTAATATTCTAGTGAACTCAAAGTCCATAAATAATACAAAGTATGCATTGCCACTGTTTTAATTCAACTTACCGCATTTCAATTACTTGGGTGCAGGCTAGTCCATTAATAAAAAGAGCGCAGGATGGCATAATTTTCGCGATTATATATCGATGACTCATAGGCTTCAAATATGACCTGCGGTCAAAAGTTATTGCTGTGAAATAAATAGGCGAGACGAGCTTAAATACGCAATTCTATTTCCAAATATATATATATATATATATATATATATATAGGAATTATTTATATTTTTATTGATTCAGACTTAAACGACAGATTTTGGAGCTGAAATTTGATGTACACACCAAGCAGATAGCTGTAAAATCAGCTTTTGAAATTGCAGCTGTAATTCGAGTAATCCCTTATACATATAAATTAATTCAACGCTAAACAGTAAACTATGTGAGTGAGTTGCATTGGTGAAATGAAGGCTAGCGCCAAAGTGGAACTCTTTATGGCTGAAAAGGAAAAGGTCCTTCAATTCATAGGTAATCGGTAATTACATGTGTCAAGAGTTAGAATAGAGCATACAGCGAACAGTCAACAGATGTTAGTATACATAGGTTTAAGTAGATTGGAAAATTTAATAATAAATTTCCGCGCAGCTTGACTAAAGGAAGTAACTATGATATCGATTTTCTGCGTGTACGTTCTCTTATGCCCACTTCGAAAATAAGGCTGCCTGTCTTATGAGACCAAAGTCTTAAGAGCTGAGGGGGATAAGAATTTGTCAAATAACATTTACACACTTTGTGACTGCTTCAGATATTCACTGGTGTGTCCAAATATATGTGAAAAGGGGAAAATAGAGTCCATTACTATGAATCAGACCAATCAGTTGTCAAATTTACTGTGAGGATTAGGAGTTGAGTAGGGGTGGACCCTGATCCCCTGTCAGTCCACTGGACCAAATCTCACCTCACTCTGCATATATCCGCAATTTTTGACAATTTCCTTTCTCACCCCACCTCCTAGTTTTGACAGACTGGTGTTGCTTCGAGGTTGATTTATTAAACAGGTGACTAACTCATGGTCCCAGTAGCCTCGATGGCCCATGCTTCTCACGACACCCCTCCCCCCCTCCACCCCTGTCCCTTCCTGGTGTTTGGCTGCCGTTATGCTTGAATATTTTGGAAATTTTAATTTCCTGTCATTTCATCTTTTCACACTAAAGGCTTTTTCTATCAATTCAATTGTTTTTTTCCCATCCATTTCTCACTCATTGTATAAACATATATATGCTTACACCATTCGCATTTAACTGGATTTTCTACATAAAAGGGGAAAATTACTGAGTATATTTGTTTGGTTTTAAAAACTGTCACAAATGAAGAAATTTCCTGCAATCTTCAAATCTTAAGCACAGTCCCCCTCCCTCTCTTCACCAATTAAATTGTTTTCGAAATTTCACAGCCGTGAGATTGTTTATACCCATCTTTCTTGAATTGTGTTCCATGAATGCCGATGAGAATAGAGTAATTAACGGAGAAAATGACATTTGTTGAATATTGGGAGTATATTCCTTTTTTTTTCTTAAATTGCGTCCGCCTAATGTCAAAGTTGCCTTTCAAATATCAAATTTCTGATTAACTTGCCAGGGATGAATAAGCAGGTGGGGGGAAGGGGGGGGCTGAAGGTGGTGGAATTGAGAAAAACTGCTTCGCTAGTTTATCTAATAAGCTAATTTTATAATTATCACGTTTTCGGCAAATATTATTTTGTTGAAATAAAATGCAGAACTGAAGGCGTCCATTGAAGTTACCATTGTCAAATATGTTAAAATCTCGTCTACCTACTCCTTATAATTTGATTTGACGTGCAGTATTCCGAACGATTCCAGTAAAATCCATTCCAGTAAAAAAATATACATATTTCTCTAGAACTACATTCGCTTTCAAGCAAAGACTTTAACATTCTAGTGGAAATAACTAACTACTCATAAATATTAATCTTTTAGGTGAATGCAAGCCAAAAGAGATATCCACTTTGTAGCATTGCAATCAATACCATGATTTTTAGACTGACTGGACGAGCAGAAAAATCTCCGCCATTTCAATCACATAAAAGTTTTGAAGTTGAGTAAGTACGAAATTCTTCACATAACTCAGCCAGCCTTGGTACTGTTTGATAAATTGGGCCTCGTGATGGACTCTTATCTGAGAGGCATTTATTCATGTACACCTGAGATTGCTTTTAGTAATGAGGTTATCCTCAGCTAAGGCCTACGTAAAAAATTAATGCATGTTTTGGAATTTCAAAGGACCTTTAGTACGCCGAACAAAGTAAACAATTTTCCTAGAACAATCACTTTAGATGGAATTCTGTAATAAGAATCTTAATAAGAAGGAATTTTTCCAGGTTTCAAAGAATAACACCCTTGTAAGTTTCAGACGCTTTTGTATTCAATTTCAATGACAGAAAATTTTTTTATTTTAATTTGTATACTTTCTGCAACATACTCTATCCGTCACTAATCTTATATCCCGCAAATTTCGCCGAGAAATCAATGGCAACTTACTAAATTATGGTTGGCATTCAATAAAAAATCGATTCCACTAGTGAAAAGGGAAATTATATACAATTTAACAAAAATGAATTTTCGAACTAAATGAGAATCGAGGACTAAACAATATGGCCAGGTGAATGTGGTGTGTAAGTTAAAAAAATTTGTCACGTTGGATGGAGAAATCTGTTAACCTAAATTCTACACGCTTAACAAACAAATGGAGTTTGAATTATTAAAGAAGAAATAACCGAGAAATATTTTTGTTTCGTAAAGGCCGCTAGGGAATTGGACACATAATCTGATGCCAAGAAACTGTTAACTAAGACGAATTGATGGACGCAAAATCATATTAATATTCAATGTGAGAAACTATGTAAAAGTGACAGATTGATTCAAAAAAATACGATTGAAAAGGAAGTTGTGAAAGGTGAAATAATGGATTTGTGTCACGCGGGATAATGGGCTTAGTTTGCCCCAATAAATAATTATTGTATTCCATATAATTTTTTGCACAATTAATCTCACGTTTTTTACCGCCTTCCATTGGAAGTACTGTTTGCTTTAAATATTAACAAAGGCTAGGATAGAAATAACATATTATTTTTGAACGTGCAACTTATTCTAATGTTGAGCAGATTATAATTGCAGTAATTGCTACTGGAACAGAAAATCATGGGATTAAGAAAAATGAGATTATAAGTTCGTTTAGTTAACTCATTCATCCTTTCTGATTCAGTGCCAAAGTGATTTCGTGGCTGATCGGATGGAAAGTTGATGGCCAGAAACAATTAAAATACTGGAAAAATACGCTGATCATAATCTTTTAATAGTCCACCATTTGAAAAATTTCGTGCACCCATTTACCAGTGTTCATTTTACCAACTATTATTTCGTATTTAAAGGTATGGATGACAATTTGGAATAAAGTCAAACTTCAATGAACATTTAGTAAAAGTTTTTCCCTTTTATTTATAGACGGGAATGGGAGGTAGTT